CAAACACCAAATTGGTTATAACAGTCTTATGGCATACTTAGGTTTACCTACATTTTATTTAGTCAAAGTCTAAAAAAACAATTTCATTTTGTACTTTACCAGTAACGCATATATATATATATATAATGATAAGAATGAAAAGATAGATGTAATATATAACACAATATAAACAAAATTAATCTTAAAATGGATAAAACAGGTCAATATAATGTTAAAATATTAAAGTTTTTATATCATCTTTGTTTTTACTTTTATATTCTAGCAGAAAATTTTAAAAATGTTTTTATTTTATTTTATAAGCCCTCTTCAGATTATGATAATCAAATACAATAAAAATGTTGCTTTGTGGTCAGCTCACATGGTCATCCCAAAATTCCCTCATAAAACTGCAAAAGTTTGATTTATATTAAAACTCTATAAAACTCTTCCTATGTTGGCGGCCACTTAACTGAAGTGGCCACCAACATAGGAATGTTCTAATATGACATTTATCTTTTGCTTGAACAGGACAACCTTACACTCATAAATGCAAGGTATTCTTTAAAGTACTTAAAATAGAGTTGAGCTTCGTTGCTATAGTTTTGGAAAAGTTTACTGAGATTCCTTCAAACAAATGACATTCAAACAGAATAAAATTTTTATTTACAATTGATAAATTAAATTTATCAACAGAATTTAATAAAAAGAAAGACAATTATATATTTGTTCAATTATTTTATACAAAATCTGAATGTATTTTGTAAAAATATAACTATATAATCAGCGATGACAATTTTACATCACTGATACATCACTTGAAACATTCAAAAAGAAAAATATTGATAAGTCTAATGTAAAAGCTGGTTTAATGATTAACATTTTTTTCTGATATTTGGACATTTTTGCATATTTACTGACTTCTGTTTTATGATTTTTTCTGAATTTGTCTGTTATTTATACAAAACCTTTACTATGATTTTATAAACAACCTGATTTCATTGGATATTAATTCATCTATGGTTACTAAACAATTCCATTTAATATTGTAATGCACAATATTTGAATGAATTCTACTGTAAACTACTTGCATTTACTATAAATGTACCATATTTCAATATTCTATTATTCTACATTAATACATTGCCCTGTACTGTACAAAAGTTTAAATTAGGATAATGTAAATTTTTTATTTTACTTACTTTAATACAAAATTATAAAAAGCAAACAACTTTTAACAAGATTTAGAACTGTATTCTAATTACATTTTGGTATGTTAATTTTTTCATAACTGCACATTAAGTAATAACATCAGTTACGTGACCTGAAACAGTATACCTTAAAGTGACCAGACATCCTGGATTAACTGGGACAGTTCTAGTTTATGGCTCTTTGTCCCAGCTTGGAAAAATGTCTCAGATTATCCAATTTTCATTTATAAGTAAATATTATTCATTGATATAGATAATAACATTTAAAGCACAAAATCATTCAAATAACAACCTCACAGTCTATATCTCATATCTCAATTTTTAGAGCATCCCAGAGTGAAATTCAGTTAAATCTGGTCACTTTACGTATACCCTAAAAGTGGTCACATATGAGGTTATACTAAATATAATAAAACATAAAATATTAAATGAATCAAAAATCCCAATTATGAAGATGTGAGAATTCATATATTAGAATATTAGAATGTGAGGTTTGGATCTAATTATATAAAATTTTGTTTGGTTTATATTATTATTTTTTTGCTTTAATTTAGAATTTTTTTAATATGGTCAATCCTGTGTATTTGTTCTATATTCAAGTCCAAATTTTATGATCTGAATGTGATTTATAAAATATCCAAAGACAATTGTTTTTGCTTAAATTTTCTGTTAGAATATTCTGTTATTAATCAATACATTTTTAAAAATTAACATATATTGGAAATATAGTTTGATCAATTTGTTATAAATACTGTACTATACATGAAGCTTTTAGTTTGTTTAATACAGGTTCTTTTAAAAAATATTATGAAAGCTTAACATAATACATAAGTACAGGATAAAATATTAAGTATTTACATTAAGAAATACAAATAAGTAATTCTCCAAATTTGAATCTAAAAATATGATTTTAATTTGCTATTTATTATTCTTAAAAATATGATTTGAACATAATTTGAAAAATTCATTTTTTAACCATATCTAACATTAAATGAACTCAAACAGAATTTGTATCTTACTAAAATCTCTGAGGCATTTAGTGTAAAAGCAACAAATCATCAACACTTTTATCCAAGACTAAATGTTCAGTATTCATTTTACAAAATAAGAAGAAAATATGACTATTTACTATTTACTTAAAATGTTAAAAAAAATAAATATACCAAGACATTTAAATTGAGAGAGATTTAATGGTAAGTAATTTCAGTAAGTTTAACTTATCTTCAGGTAAACAAAACAGTAACTTTTAAAAATATGATTACAGTGAAGTTATGAACAATTTGTTTTTCAAAACAGAAGACAGTGAATAGCCATATTTTATTTTTATCAGTATTAAGGTGTGTGCTATTTCGCAATATTTTTATTTTTCCTAAATATGATAGAATCTGTTTATTGTAATCACTTTGTTGCTCATCTACACTGATAATGTTAACTGACTAATTAAGCAGGGTAAGTAAAAAAAACTACAGTTACTGAAAATTGTATTTTTTTTTATATGTGTTTTTTATATTGATCTTGATATTAAAAAAATATATAATTGGAAAACTTATTAAATTATAAAAGTTAACAATTCATCTAGTTTTGACTAGTAATTGAGAATAACAAATGTCAGTAATTTAGACTACTGTATTATCAGCAAATAACTATTAAAAAGATTAATTTTAAAGTACTGGTTAAGACTGATAATGATTGATCGTTATCAGCGTGTTATAGCTTATAGTGTGAAAAACCAGTTTAAAAGTAACTTATTTAACTGAAGATAACAATAACTATAACTAAACTAATAACAATGAGTGGATTTCTACTGAATATTGGATAAATTAATTTTTAAAAACATGAATCAATTCTTTAATTACTTCATTATTATATTATGTCTAATGAATATATCATAAAATTTAATACTGAAATTTCAATTTTAAATCATAGATATTTTTTATATAGATAGATATAAATCATAGATGAATTCTTTAAATTTGAATATGAAATTTTAATGTCACAAATCTAATTACAAAAACTGACACATGTAATCACAATTATCTCATTGAAATTTTAAATAAATTTGAATTATAATTAGGAAAAAAAAAATCTTCAAGAATAAAAATTATTCATAATCAACATTAAAGATAAATGAGATAAATGATTATTTGAATCAATCTTATTAATCTCCATTAAATAATACTTTCTGCCACCCATAAACTGATGATTTAGATAACAATAGTAACTATGTTAACTTTTGATCATGTGCCAAGTGAGAGAATCAATGACAATTTACATAGAGAAGATATTACAAAGTGACAGATTTGCAAATAATTTACATATTCATTTTCAAGATAATTTAGAAGATTACAAACTACTATATAGTTATTTATTCTGTAAAGGCATTTACTACTTATTTATTTTGTATATAAATTATACAACAAAATAAAAATAATAATGATTTTAGAGAGAGAGAAAGAGAGAGCAATAAAATTTTAATTCATGACTCAATTCTGAATATCATAATATAACATAATAATGAAATTTATAAACATTCTAAAAAAAAATCCATGCAATATTTTCAATACTGTAATAAATAATATATTAAAATTCTTCAAATTTTATGTAAATTATACATTCAAATATATTTTAATTACTGGTAAATAACAAAGCATAATTTTTTTTTTTCTAATTGAAAGAAGGAAATGATAAAATATATTTATTTATATGAAACCGATTCAAAAAATATAAATATAATTTATTAATTTTTGCTTTTATAGTTTATATAATAAATCCAATCCATTTGTACTATTCAAAGAGAATAATGAATTGAATTCTTCCGATGTCATTTTCCCTCCTCTTTTTAGAAAATCCAACTGAACTAAAACCACTTTGAATAATAACTCAGCTTAGGACATATTCTATTATTTATATATATAAATAATTATTTTTATGTATGTTATTTAAAGGAATGAAATTTTTATATATCAAGTAAGATTCAATGAAATTTTTTACATTACAAGAAAAAAAAGCATTTAAAAATATTTATTTTACATGTTTATTATCTATTTCCTTTTAAATAAAAGATTTGATCATTTCTAATGCTATTAAGAATATTTAATGCCAAATTGAATTATGAAATTTAAAATTTGAAATGTAAATTCGATATAATTTATATAAAACTCCAAATAATTCAACATATTTTGGTTTATATCAAAGGCACTAGTTTAATTCATATATTTGCTATTCTATTAGATATTATCATTTTAATTAAAACTGATAGCATAATATTAAGGAAAACTAATTTTGTGTATAGATCAAAATTGTGTATGCAATGCAATAATAATTTCATATAAAATTTAATAGGAAACATATTTGATTAATAAAAGAAAAACAAACATGTTTTTCTTTTAATAGAAAATTTTTCAAAATTTATTAAATAATAAAAAAAAGTGCAATAAAAATAATTTGATAAAAAAAATAAAAGAATAATTTAAATATTTATTAAAAGCATATTTTTATTTTAAAGTTCCCTTTTCTGATTGTTTCTAAAAATAATACAATATATTTATAATATTTCAAGTCCTATCAGAAATCAGAAAATAAAAATTGATTAAAAAAATATTAGAAAACATTCCGTTTGCTTAACAAAATTTAAAATGTAACTGGTATCATTATTTCCTTATAAAAGCTCTTTAAGTATTATAAAAAAAGAAGCAAATCAATTTTAATTTTTTAACCTAATATTTGTCAATTAAAGTAATTGAATTACCTTAATTTCATTAAAAGTAATTAAATCTGTAAACATTCATCAAGAAGTAATAAAAAGTAACTCACCGAGTTTAACAAATCTTTCGCTGAATTCAAACCATCCCGAAAATCCTCGATTTTCACTATCCGTTGTTCTTTGCATTGTATTAAAAAAGACATATAAATTATCACCCGATGAATAAATAACTAAATTTCTCTGTTGACCACAATAAGTTCCTATTAGTGGGTATTCTGCATTGAGTCCATCAAATACTTTCACATAATCAAAAGGGCAACTAAAACAATAGAAAGTAATTACTATTATTCTCTTAAAATTATGAAATTTTTAAATATAATAAAAATAAATAAAGAGAAAAAAATTTTTAATTTTGTCTTTCTAACTATCTAAAATCTTATTTTATTGCTTCAATTCTTAATTTCAATCCTATTTAATAGTAAATCTTCATAATCTATCATAATTGTATATATAAATTTTGATTACATTCTGTTTATCAGTAAATTATGCAAATTTAATTGAATACAGTACAAAATAAATTGCATTAATAATGTAAGAATGGCAATAATATATATATATATAATTTCAGTGATATTTATAAAGTAATTTCACAATAACATATATCAAAAGTTTTAAATATTTGAATAAATTAAATATTAAATTTCGAAAAACAAAAAAAGTCTTTAAAATTAGAAAATTAGAAATACATTTCATGGACTTTTTTTTAATAAAAAATGATATTTTGCATTTCTTGAATAAAGAAAGGATGACTTTCATATAAATTCTTAACTTTTAATGTTGTAATTCATTATTGCTTCAGGCAAAACATTCTAAATGTATTTGTTGGCAAAGTTTCTCTGGCACAACATAGTATAATATTTTGTAGGAATAAAATTAAACTTACAAAGTAAACAACAGATATATATATGCATTAATATAAACTCAAAAGAAATAAGTTAAAATTAAAAAAAAGAACTAATTTAAAGTTTCATTAATATAACATATAAAAATATTAATTCGCTTGAATTAATCAATATACATTAATATGATAATAAAGTTAATTACAAAATAGTAATATCAATATAATTATCTTTATTTCATAATGAAACATAACTTTAATAACATACTGGGAACCTCCATATACAAGATCAAAATCCATGAATTCCAATCGGACTCTCTGTCCTTTTCCCCCGAGAAACCGATATTGGCATTGAAGGTTTTTTGGATAAACACCTGGATAAGTTGGAGATAATAAATCACCCTCTCTTGCTCTGTCACTATAGATGGTAAAACTACAAACAGAATTGGGAGTTGGTGTTCCAACCACATATTGAGCTACAAAATAAAGTATTTTTTAAGATATAAATATGTATATTTATCATATACTGTAACTCAAAATAAAAAAGTAAAAAAAAAAAATTAGTTTTTTTGGTATTAAATGAACAATGTTTTCAATAAATGAAACACTTTCAATATTTTAAAATATGTGTGTTTACATATTATCAAATTTTAAATATGTATGTATTGATTTGTCATATTCCTGAAAATATTTTGGAATAATTGAAGACATTTGAGTTATTAAAAATATTGTTTATTTAACACAAAAAAAAAGAACTAAATTTTCTTCTTCTGTTTTGAGTTAAAAATTTCTGACCTACACCTTGTCTATCCTATTACACATATTCATCTTACATATATGTAATGTAAGACTATTGAAGTAGGGTGGCATCGGCCCATAATATATTGTAACCCTTTTCTAAAGCGTTTCTAAAGTGGTTCTGTAATTTTTGATATCATCTTAATGTTCTTGAAAGCGACAAGCCAATTTTCTAGTTGTGGCCCTGATAAAAAATATTTTGAGACCCACCAACTGCTTTGAGATCCGAACAAAAGAAGAATCCGGTGTTTGCTTAGCCGTCCATTCCATATTTGTGGGCCATTACACTTTGCATTGTATAGGGCTTTCAAGAGACATGGTGTTGTATTTCCTATAAAATCACAGATTTCTCTGTGCAAGATAGTTTTACTATTTTGGAGGAGTCAGGGTTCCTTTACAGCAGACACAAACGGGAGCAAAAGTATTTTATATGGAGCATTTTGTTCTAAATTGAATCATAACAACAATGTTGACTATGAAACAGTGTTCTTACAATGCTTCTATATTGATAGTTTGAAAAATATTCAATTTAGACCATTTAAGTGANTTTAGAAAATGTAACAGTGTACAGTAAATAAGATAAATCTAACATAACTAATTACATCCTAATTAAGATAAATGCATTATTTAATAATTCAGCAAAATAAATGATTGCAATTTTGGAAAGAAAAATAAAAAATTAAATATTCATATTCTTAATTTAATTTCAATTAAAGAAGAAAAAAAAAAGATTTGATATAATGTTATCGATAGAAATTCGAACATTTGTGAGAAATTTAAACTATTAAATCTGTAAATTTTTTTTTTTTTAAGAACGAATTTAAAAATATATTAAATTTGAATTTTAATTTAAAATTTCATTACAGTATATAATAAATAATTTAAAAATAAATTGTCTTATAAATTGTATCTTTGAAAAACTTACAGGCATTAATAAATTCATATATTCCTTGGAAGACATCAGGAGTAACTTGTTTTTCATCAGTGTAAAAAGCAATGACTAATGTCTCATACAAGGATATTCTTTTTCTTGGCAAATTATTTCCACAGATACGACCTCCAAATGGAGTTGTGATCAGATCTTTGGAAGGCTCTTCTACTTCTGTGTAGAGATCGATGTATTCATGATTGCAACTGAAATTCAAAATGAATATTTGATAGAGTTGTTCCAACAGTTTCACATAAAGAAAATAAGATTCCATCAAACTGTCTTCATGGATGTATTTAGTTAAGTCACTCTCCTTTAAAAAAACATAGTATAAAAAAAAATTTATTTCTAGAAAGTTTTGTCAATATTATTCCTATTGGAATTCTTAAATTCATAGGTATCCTCTCTTGCTTCTGCATTTGAAAGTTATCTGAACAGCAGGTTATACTGAATCAGTTTGTTTTAATAATTAATAGAAATTTTATTTAAATTAATCAATAATTCCAGTAAAGAAAAAAAAAACAATCCAAACAATTCACCTTTGTTAAATCTTGTTTAAAAAATGATATATAAACACAATTAATTAATTATTAACAAATTAAAAAGTTAAATAAACAAACAAGAGAAATACAAAAAATTATAATGTATGATTTTTTTAAATCTATATTAACATCAATCTTAAGCTAAATAAACAATTTCATTTTCAAAATTTTTATACTATTTTTTCTTTTCCTTTCTTTCTTTTTATACATTTGTAACACAATCTAGCAGCACAGTATATATATATATATAGTAAGTACTTACTCCGTAGGAGTTCCTTTTAAATTGAACACAGTGAAAGTGACTTGTACCCGTTCATTTTCGGAAGCAATAAAAGTGTAGATGCATTGTCGAGAATGACCTTCTGGGATTTCCAAAGTGGGAGAAGCGAAAGTGCCATTCTTTGGTCCATCCGGATTACTAATAAACATCCTGTCACACTCTGAAAGGATAAGATTTGCCATAGTGGGCCATAAACAAGGGCCTGAATAATTAATTTATCAATCTATATAGAAGATGATACATGTTTATTATTAAAACTTACCAAAATATCAATAAATTTTATGAATCAAACATATTAATATTTCAAAAGATTAATATATATATATATTAATCTTAAAACTGCCTCCATAAACCTTGATACATTAAATTAATAACATTATCAGTGGTGCATTATAGCTTCGTGGGGCCCAAGAAAATTTGAATTTAATCAGAAAACAATTTTATAAAATCAAATTTAGTTTACTTGAACATAGAACAAACATACAGAATTGAGCATCATCACAATTGGAATTATTTATTATTCTATGTTTTGTTATATATATATTAAAACACATCATCTATATCGCGTAGAGTGTTGACTTTGGGGTAATTTTTTTCTTATAAAAGATTGGTTTGGGGTTCCCCAGTTAGTGGGGTCACCAGGCAATTGCCCTTAGGATAAAGCACCACTAAACATTATCATTATAACGAATTAAATTTATTATTATTTTTTTTTTTTTAAATAAAGAAGTTTATAAATTTAAAAAGCAATTATCTGGATGTAGGTTGAATAAGTTATTTTAAGAATGGAATCAAGTTTTATTACAATAAAATCCAGCATAGGTTAATGGTGCAAAATCTTTTGCATGGCAGTGCTGTAGTTTATAAGATCAGCTGCGATCGTTATGGACGTCATGTAATGAAGATATATGTACCGAGAAACTTGGATGAGTGCAACATTGGTTCACCATACAGACGAACGATCATGACTTTAGAAAGCAAATTGCTTTGTATGAGATGCATTCCCTGCACCTATTTTTATGGTTTATCTACTTAACATCAAAACACATTTACGCTTACTACAAGAAAACATTAATATAATTCTCTTAATCGAATTAAATCTACATCCTAAGAATAAATACATATATATTTTTAGTAAAAAAAAANAAAAAAACTCATTTATACTAAGGTAATAAATTTGATTAAGATGCATTTGATATTTATGCTAGATTTCAGATTAAATTTTAGATTATTAGAAATATTTTATTGTTGTAATAATAATAATAATCTAAGAATAGTAATTTTTTCCTTTTTTATGGTAGATTATAAACATATTTTAACGTTTCTATATCAGCAATTGCACGATATATATATATCTGCTATTGCAAAATTTGATATATGGAAATGATGCGTATCAATTTTATCTTTAAAAATTTTTGATAACGTTCGATTAATATCGAAAGATTTGAAGAGATATTCTACCGAAATTTCCCTAAAGAGGGCAAATTTTAACGATAAAAGCACGAGACAGCAGACGACATACTTGGGGTCCGTATGGTAGGTGAAGGGGAGAGATGTGGCGGGTGAAGCGCAGCAGGTGGGAGACCACTCACAGATGGAGATCCGGCGACTAAAAATTAAGGGAAGGGTGCGTTAGTATATACAGGGAATGACAGGATAGCAGCAACATCTACTAAACATTATATATAATAATTAACATTTAAAATTAAATTAACTTAATTTAATTTTAAATTATTGTATAAACACATTTATGTAAAATTTCCTTGGTGTTAAGGCATATTATTTTGCCTTACATCAATACATAAAGAACACTTACAGAAGTGTTAATTTATACAGTAATTGTAGTATTTAAATAGTAAATTGAGGCCATTTAACTAATAAAGCTGAACATTCGATACAAGTAGATAAGGAACCGTCCGTTAATTGTGTACAGCTTAAGAAGGAGGGAGGTTGCGAGAGATAGACATGGCCTATGTTTTAATGTTTAACTGTCAGAAGGGTCCACAAACTATTGTACATGTACACTAATTAAAGGGAAAGGATTTGTCGAAAGTACTGTATATCTTTGTATACACGGAGGGAGATGCTAAAAACTGTACACGTAATTAATGGACGGCCCCCTAATAATAGCGAGGTTGCGGCCGAAGTTTTCATCTCTCAAACGTGAACGTCGAACGTCGAGCGCTGCTTACAAGATAGCGGCGCTCGACGTTCGACGTTCACGTTTTACAGATATAAACTTCGGCCGCAACCTCTCTATTGATCGTTTTATAGATTTTATTTGAAAATTTTCTACATTGTTAATTATTTTCCTGTAAGCCTATCAGTTATATCGTTATCCACATATTCACATTCATGATACTTTTCGTTCTCAGACCACGTATATAGCTTCTTTCCAGTTAAGCCGACGCAATAATCAAAATGTTTTATGAATGAAGATAACATAGGAAGAAGAAGAGAAGGAAGGAGAGAAGAAGAAGAAGAAGAAGAAAAAAAAAATGCTAGAGATAAAAATGCAATAAGAATTCGCTAAAGATAGAAATAGCTTTAGATGCACTAATGCTAAAATCGTAGTTCTGCATTCATTGACTTATAAAACTTTTTTTTTTATTATTATTATATCAGGAGAGAAAAAAAATTGATAAACACATCATTAATTTAATATTAGAATAATATTGATTAGTCTTAAACATTTAAACATGATAGGAAATTCGATAGACTATTAAAAATATAATTAATAAAGTGATAATCAGAGCTTTGAATCTTTGAATGATGGGATAAATAGCACATGTTTGAGACACTTTAGAGGTATAATGGCAATTGTGTAAACGCTTTAACTTATTAATAGGTGTTAATTTAAAATTTAAATATAATTCTTCTAAGATTGATATACTGATCTGATGTTAATATGACGTAACATAGTAATTTCTGTATTAGTTTACAGAAAGAGTTTGTTTATGACAGCTCTGATATAAGACAAAATGTTTTGTAGAAGATTGGATTAATGATCAAGTTTTTCTTTTTGGAATCAATAAGTCATTAATTTTACAATTGTCTTTTAATTTTTAAAAATAAATTCGACCTTTTAAATGATAAATTTTTTTTTCCTAAGTGGAGAGAGAACGTTTAAAGAGTTATAATTCATCCTAAATTGACAACAACATGGCAAAAATGTTTCTAATCAATGGTATAAGTCGCCTGAGGATAGAAGTCTAAGTCAATGCTAGTCAGCTATCAGACTTTGGCTGACAAATAACTTCTTTCCTCAGGCCAGGAAACACTTGTTTTCTTCTATAAGAGTTATGATGGAGTGTTTTGTATTCGTTTATATTGCACTCTGTATAACGAAATCTTTAAAAATTCGTTTCGAAAATGTATCTAGAGATGAATTGACTGTATTTTTCAAAAAAAAAACTCATTTATACTAAGGTAATAAATTTGATTAAGATGCATTTGATATTTATGCTAGATTTCAGATTAAATTTTAGATTATTAGAAATATTTTATTGTTGTAATAATAATAATAATCTAAGAATAGTAATTTTTTCCTTTTTTATGGTAGATTATAAACATATTTTAACGTTTCTATATCAGCAATTGCACGATATATATATATCTGCTATTGCAAAATTTGATATATGGAAATGATGCGTATCAATTTTATCTTTAAAAATTTTTGATAACGTTCTTAGATAGCTCCATATTCAACTGAAATATTAGATTTATGCATAAAAATAATGAAATAAAAAGATACTTTTTATGTATCCAAGTCTTATGAAAATTACATTTTCTTTGCAGAAATATATGTGTGTATATAACGCCCACGTGTTTGCATTTGTATAACTGAATACGGCTGCTATCGTCGCTATAACAGAAACCAATTATACTTCTCTTAACTTATGTTTAAAAGCAGAGATGTGCTAGCAATTTTTATACATCAAACTAAGCACTCTTTAGTGACTGATACATTATTATTATTATTATTATTTTCTTTTAAAATGCAATATTATGTATCGATAAAACATATATGCAATAATTTATTATGTATTCCTCACATAAAATAATAAAAATATAAAGAAATCGTTGAAGAGGTGAATAACCTCACGAAACTGATCGATTCGCCATGTCTGAGGATTTGACGTCATTCAGCATTCGGTGACGTCATAAAACGTGATCACCGACATCGGAAGTAGATGCAGAAACAAGATTACAAAACGATAGCGATTTTTGGAATTCCAATCAACTTACCGAGAGCCGTTAGATGAGGCAATAGTACAGCCAGACACATGACTGCGAAAAAACACCAAGATGCGGTCCCTATAGTGTCCAATTGGTCCTGTGGATCTGGGGACATGCTGCACTCAACCTCCTCTGTCCCTGTTGGAGAATCAAAGCACAATACACTTTATAGAACGAAAAACTTTTTTTTTTTTTTTTCTCACACTCTTTCAAACTCATAACTATTCTAGAATTGATCTTACCACAGAAATGATTCATCGTGTTTTACAGAAATAAAGTTTTTCTACGCTATAAACTTCCAAGAATTTTAAATAATAATTGTAAAAAATAATAAAAAGCAAATGTCTCTTAAGAATATCCTATACTAATGACGTATAGTGACGTCATTTATGAGTTTTTATTTAAAGATTTCCCTCCTGAAATATAACGAACTCCTTAAAAAAAAATATGAAATAAAATATGTAAAAACTATTTATCTTGTTAAAAGATTTAAATATTCATATTTTTAACAAGATTTCTTCTTCTTTTTTTTAAAATAGATATCTAATAATTTATTTATCATCTTCTATTCAATTACATATAATTTTCTCAGAGAAATAACTTCATGATTTATCATAATGCATATTTTAATAGATTATAACCTACTTAATTATATCATTTTACCTTTTTTTACATATATATATATATATAGTAATATTTATGATATTTATCAATTATAAATGTGTACACGTATAAATTGCATAATACATATTTATATATTATAAACATGCAAGCAGAACAAATAAATATATTTATCATAATAAAGGAGCTTTGCTAAGTCAATAAATAAATTTTACTCGAGAGGAATTTAATTAAAATTAGACAAATTTCGATCAAAAAATAAATTTAAAAAAATTGAAATTTTTCCCATATTTATTTATTAAGTAATTTATTTTATTTAATTGCTAATAGAAGTAAAAAAAAAGAAGTCACGATAAATAAATTATATTAATTTAAGATTATCTGAAGTTGGCAATCGTATTATTTTAAGCGAATAACGTTTATCTCTTCAGCTTAAAAACAGGATAGAGAAGGACTGTGTTTTCGGAAGGATCGATTGTTTAGAAACTTCGTAAAGTTTACTAAACTTTTCACGATTTTCAAATTGTTTTTCTCGTGTTAAAACTTAGTTTTTTTCCCCTCCTCCTCCTCCTCTTTCTCCTCCTCCTTGAATATTATAAGGCTCGATTTACTGTCAAATTCAATCGACATTTAAGAGTATAGACGAAAATGAAAATTATTTGAGACTAGAAAAAAATATATATATATATATGTATAAATCTTTTTCTTGGATTTTATATATTGTAGTTTTGCTATTTTGTTCTGGCAGGAATCCAATTGGTTGACCGAATGTTCGACTCTTCGGTTATTTAATTCAATAGTTTTTTTTTCTAATACGTTGTTGTTTTTTATTTTTAAAGGGATATATCGTTTCGATTTAAAATTTTTTACTAAGATTTCCTAAGCCAATTTCTGACAGAATGGAGACATTATCAAATTTTAGTCATTTATCATGACACTAGATTACATTTCTTCTTTTCCTCCTCCTCCTCTTCCTCTTCCTTCTCCTCCTCTTAGGTACAATTTTTAATTTGTTTAATTTATTTACTAAATAGATTTTTTAAATAAATGTTTAAATTTATTTAGAAAAAAAATCATTATATAAATATTCATAAAATAATTGATTATCATTTTCCTCGGTTGTTCTATTTTTAAAACGAAAGAAAAACAGAGTTTTTAAAACTCGTGTATAAAATATAGTTCACGATAAAGAAAGAAAGAAAAAAACAACTTTATTTATTTATTTATTTTTCTTATTCTGAAAGAAAATAACT